GCTACTCCAATGTGTTTCATCACAGGGCAAGTGACTTTCTCAGGGGTGCAGTTTAACATTCTTCTGGTTATCAAAAATGTGTAAGCCTTACCAGCTTGGATGGTGGGTAAAGAGCAGATGCACAGTTATGTCTAGATGCATGGAAGAGATGCTGAGACAGGTGCCAGAGTTGATCTTTAATCTCAGAAATAAACTTCACCCCTTGGGGCCAGCTGCCAGAGTGGGGGGGAAGGAGGGTGGGGTTATAGCACAGAATGACCTGATAGCAGAGGAAGTAGAAGGTGAAGCAGCTTCACCTCCCCTCTTGACATCTGGTGGCTCCAGCTATGCATGTGCTATGAGACCACCTGATGCAGGAGGGGATAGTTTAACAGACATTTGCTCTTTCTGCTCCTTTCCATGGACATTCACAGAAAAGAGCAAAAATTAACGATTTTCTTACAAACAATCCATTTGGCAATGGACTCTGCTATGTTGTCTTGTGAGTATTCCACTTTCTTTAAACCCTCGCTTTAACCACTTGAACTCCTGAGGATTTACCCCCCTTAATGACCAGGCCTTTTTTTGCTGTTTGGCGCTGCACTAATTCAACTGATAATTGTGCAGTCATGCAATGCTGTACCCAAATGAAATTTACGTCCTTTTTTTCACACAAATAGAGCTTTCTTTTGGTGGTATTTTATCACCTGTGTGCTTCTTATTTTTTACGCTATAAAAAAAAAAACACGAAAATTTTGAAAAAAAAAAACAATATTTTCTACTTTCAGCTATAAAAAATATATCGTAAACTCAAAGTTAGTCATAAATTTAAGCCAAAATGTATTCTGCTACATGTTTTTGGTAAAAAAATCCCAATAACTGTATATTAATTGCTTTGTGTGGAAGTTATAGTGTCTACAAATTATGGTATAGATACTGTAATTTATGCCTTTTTGCTATACAGCACTGCATAAGTTTAATTGACAATTTGTGCGGTCATGCAATGCTGTACATAAATTAAATTTATGTCCTTTTTTTCACACAAATAGAGCTTTCATTTGGTGGTATTTGATCACCTGTGCGCTTTTTATTTTTTGCACTATAAACAAAGAATCCTATTAGCCTATTCACTAGTGTACCTTTGGTTGGACATTTTGGCCAATAAATTTACAGATACCTAGTGCAACTCACGGGAAAAAGAGCGCCTAGCTGTCATGGACTGCTTGAACCACTACAAAAAATTTACAGACAAGTGCTAACAGAGATCAGGCCTGATTCTGTGAACACTGTGGTTTTATGTGTAATGTATCAAGTGACAGTTATCTACTGACACTGCACATGCTGGGGGGAGAAGGGGGGGGGGGCATAGGGGCTAAGCACAGGTGCTGGCAGGTGACGGGGCTGATCCCGCTAACACTGCATTTTTGGGGATACTATAGTAATGTGAAAGCTGGTATAGTGCTGATCTGATCAAAGATATTGATCTAATCAGACACTATACTAGCAATGGAGGTTTAGCGTGCAAGTGAGTGTGTTCCTTGTAATCAAGGGGTCAAATGTGATTAATGGTGTACTATCGGCAATCTGACGCTATCTGGGAGGGGCGCTAACTGACGCTAACACTATCGGATGTCACCAGTGACATTAATACAGTGATCAGTAAAAATCTGTTCACTGTAATCATTGACACTGGTGACAGGGCAGTGAAGGGGTTAACTGAGGGGGATCAAGGGTTTAAATGGGATTACAGGTGTACTAGCGGGCAAACTGGCGCTATCTGGGAGGGGCGCTAACACTATTGGAAGTCGCCAGCGACACTGATACAGAGATCAGTAAAAATCTGTTCACTGTGATCAATGACACTGGTGACAGGGCAGTGAAGGGGTTAACTGGGGGGCGATCAGGGGGTTAAATGTGACCTATGTGTGTTCTAACTGTAAATGTGTAGTGTTTTACTCACGTTTACTGGGTCTTCTTCTCTCTCTGGGACGGAATGTGCCCAGGCAGAGAAGAATGACATCATATCCTGTCCTGTGTAAATGTCAACACAGGACAGGATAGGACTGGGACCGATCATCCGATTTCAGCAGGACATCACTGGCTGAAACCGAATGATTGATCCCTCGGGGATCAAATGGTAACAGCCGAGTTTCTGGCTGAATCACCAGATGAAAATAGAAGAAAGCAAGCCTTAAAAAGGATAACTAATACAGCCATAACATCTAAGACTTGGTAAGGTACAATATAATAAATGTTTTCTTTTGGGTTTAATACCGCTTTAATCTCTTATGTTATAAGCATAAACAAAAATCAGATTAGCAGCAGTTTTTTTTTTTATACCTTCAAAGTGTATACATTTAAGAGGCATTCTTCTAGGAATCTACTCACCCCGCCCCCTGTTCTTCTGTCAGTGAAGAACCTTTTCTGAAAAGTAAATTTTGTAGGTATTCAGTTCCAATGTATTCTCCTTTATTCAAGCAAAAAATGCAAAACCATAAAGGAGGAGATTAGTAACATAGTACTTTTTGCCCTTTAAAAAAATAAAGTGCACAAACCCTCTAGTGTAAGTTTTAGTACAAGAATACAAATACAAAATAGTGAACCTGGTTCCAAATGTCTGTATACATAGGCATTGGCAATCATTTGGGGTAAATTGTGTATGCAGTTAGTCAAGCTCAATTTTTATTTCAGTACCTTGGTTGGACCTTTTTTAAAACCTGCCAGGCCCTAGACAAAAATTTAGTTTACCTTTCGGTTGATCTGATCCTACAAATATTAATGCATACCAAGTGAAAATCTAGCATCAACGATGTAAACATTTTAAGTACACATTTTAAGACACGTTTGTTTCTAGGTGTGGGTTGTAGATTATAAATATTTGGTTATAATTATTTTATTACAAGGATAGATAGATAGATAGATAGATAGATAGATAGATAGATAGATAGATAGATAGATACTGTAGATAGATAAAAATAAGCTAAGGTTCCAGCCAAACATAGTTTGGAAATTGTCACATGACAGCAGGCCAATGTCCCAATCAGCTGAAGTTGTGGTGAAGCAAAAGGAGTGGGGATGTTGGTGACATCACTGACCTAATATGGTCACATCCCTGCCTCTTTGTTATGTGTAGCTGTGGGGCGGGGAATTTCCAGCTGCAGCTAATTGGGATGTGTCATCTCTGGGGTGGGCTCCCTCCAGGCATACCTTCTCTAAATCTATCCATTTTTATGTATGTGCTCCAGCTTTGGAGACTCTCAAAATGTATTGAGTTAGGATTGCAGTACAATGTGTGCAAACAAAATCCATTGTTTTAAAGGGAACTGTTAAGCAGGGTAATTCATTTTGTTGTAGGCTGGCAGGCAAGTGAGCTGGAAATTTTTGTTTGCTGTTTTTTTAAATGCATCATCCTTCCATGTGCTCCTTGGTGCAAAGGCCAGTTATAGGTTGGGGTGGGGTGGTTGGCATTTGTTTGTACTGTTGGTGAAATAGTGAGGGGATGTACTGGATACCTTCACTGACATTGTGCTATTCTTGGGTGCCCAGTGTGTCCCTATACCTGAACCTCTTCCAGACAATGTGATACATACAGTATATGCGGCCTCTCGGCGGGTGGGCTTTAATGCCGAGAGGCTGTATATATGCTACCCTATGTAAACATTCTGTGCTGAGAGCACGCGTGCTGCACACTCCCAGCACAGATATCGGCAGGGACCAGAAAACTCCCAATGTATACTAGCAAGCTGGAACTTTCTAATCATGTGACCACTGTGACAGCCAATCACAGTAGTCACATGACCAAAGTGCCTGCCTACGAGCATTTAATAGCTCTTACAGGGCAAGGAGGGTGTGGCAGGAAGGGGTTAAGGAGGGATGGGCTCCCTCAAGGCATACCTGCCCTCAATCTATCCATTATAATATATGTGCTCCAACTATGGACACTGGGGTGCCATGACGTGGTCTCTGCAGCTAACTCATGTATTTGCAAATGTGTGGAAATGGAACCCCTTGTTTTAACATAAACTGTTAGAAAGGATAATTTGGTTTGTTGCATGCTGGCTGGTAAGTGGGGTGTTAATTTGTGTATTTTGTTTTTTGACATGCATTGCCCTTCTTTGCTGCAAAGGCCAGTTATGGTTTGAGGTGGTTGTCAATTGTTTTATACAGTTTCCCATTGGTTTGATGGGAACTGAGTTTGGTGTGAACATTAGCTCATTCTAGATAGGAAGCTAAATAGACATTAGCAGTTTTTGCTTTTCAGTGCTTTCATATGAAATAAAAAAAACAGGATTGCCAATACACATTGAACAGATACATGATTACATAAAATCAATAGTTCACTGGATTTAAAGAGAAAAGGAATACCATTTTCCTGCAGTCCTCTTTCTTTGCTGACTGTGTAAAAATAAAATTTTATAGACAATATCCCTTTTATATTCTTTTTAGCAAATAACTGTTTCTTGAGAAAATAAATGTAATGTCAAGCATATAGCTATGGATACACAGAATATCTTTGTAAATTATGCTTGGGTAGTTAAATGCTGTGTAATGCAAAAACATGATGATTAACATTTTATTCAAGAAATTTCTCTGATGTGTGATAACAAGCTAAACAAATGTTCATAATTTCTGTATATTTGCAAGTTTTGCATAGAATGTAAAGCAAATAAAGAAATCCATGAAATTAAGCTTCTCATTGTTTGGCGTATTTAACTAGATCTGACAAATCTGAAACTGTCAAGAAAAAGACAATCATCAAATCAACAAAAATTAGGTTAAATGCAGCAGATTTTCTCTGTTTACATACTTCTATTATCCTTAACAGAGCCAAAAGATAATTAAAGAAAACCTGCCACGAGAGCAGTGTATAGTAGGGCAACCAGAGATATCAATGGAAGCTAAATTCCCTGCCCTATATGACTGCTATTTGTCCTAATCCTAATTACACGTACATGGGAAACAATATTACAAGTTATTGACAAGGAGACTATCATCAGTCTGTGCTATTGAGATCAAGTGATGCTATATACCAGGCCTTGAAATTTCCACCCACCTGCTCGCCAATGGCGAGTGGAAATTATGGTGGGGGCCAGTGTCCCAGGGCCGTCTTGCTGAGCAGGCTCGGAACTCAGGCTGGATCTGTCATTGGCACTGGGAGCTGTCAGACTGCTCAATAGCTGAGCACAGTGAAAGTAAAGGAGGGAGTGTGTGCTGTGCTCTCTGCCTCCCCCTAGAGTGCAGTACCCGGCTCTGTGAGTGAACAACGAAGTGCTGCAACTTTTTATAGGGTGTGTGTGTGTACCTACCTAATTTCAGCTCACTCTGGTCACATGATCCTCTATGTCAGCCAGTGGTGGCTTCAGGGGAGAAGAAAGAGCACTTAACAGCGTGCGTGTGTGTGTGTACATGTTTGTGTACGTGTTTGTGTGTATGAATGTACATGTGTCTGTGTGTATGTACATGTGTCTGTGCCTGTACATGTGTCTGCATGTATGTACATGTATGTGTGTGTGTACATGTGTCATGTGTCTGTGTGTGTGTGCATGTACATGTGTGTGTATGTACGTACATGAGTCTGTGTGTACATGTGTCTGTGTATGTATGTACATGTGTCTGTGTGTATGTACATGTGTCTGTGCATGTATATTTCTGTGTATGTACATGTATCTGTGTGTATGCGTGTCTGTACATGCCTGTGTGTGTATACATGTGTCTGTATGTGTGTGTGTGTGTACATGTGTCTCTGTGCATGTTTCTGTGTGTATGTAGATGTCTGTACAGGTGTCTCTGTTTGTGTGTGTTTGTTGGTGGCGAGTAACTCTTAAGGCATGGCTAGTAGCTCAGGACTTGAAATTTTAAGCCCTGCTTACTATAGTCAAGTGTTTAGGAACCCGAAAGTGTGTTGCTTACCCAGATGTGCAGAGGCACCTAGCTTGGAATTCACTTTAGTATATGAGTCATGCACACAAGATGCTTTATTGCAAAGAGGATAAGCCACTGTAAACAAAGTGTCACGCTTTAGTAAATTTTGGCATTTCCAACTGCTTACGGAGGATTCTCATGGCTCTAAAGAAAGAATAGTTACACTCAGGTTGATAATAAATACTTGGAAGCTTGAATTTTATTGGAAAATATAAGATTTGCATATAACTTCAGCTGCTTGTATATAACTGGCTGTACTGATCTATTTGACATACAGTTTTCCTGTTTGTTTTTGACATGTTTACTTTGAAGTGAAATTGCTTTGTTAACAAAAACCCTCCAGGCTATATACAGTATCACATGGACTCCTTCTCTTTGGAAACTGATGGAGACCTTTCATGTACTGAAGTGGCTACTAAGTGGGAGGGTCTGCTTTTGATTTAATAATTTAATCAGTGCTGTAATGAGAAAAAAACTGCAGTCTTCACATTAATTTACAAAAAAAAATTCTACATGAGGATGAGGGTAGTCTTTTCTCTGTGCACCACTCTGCAGGTAGAAAAATATGTTGTCAGTATCATAAAAATCTATGGGGATATACTGTAGCTGAGAACCATCTATAGCATTTATACAGTACATCCATGTAATGCAGATGGTTACATTTACTTCACCTTGATATAAAGATTTAAAGTGGTTGTAAGCCCTTACATATACCCGGTGAAGTGATTGGCCTCAGGTGATACACAGAGATGAAACAAATCCTCCTACAGAAGTTATACATACTTATCTACAGCCACTTTCCCCTACATCCATTCAAAGTGCAGAATTTACACAGGATTTCTCAGTTATGAAAAGCAGGGGGCGAGGAGTTTAATCAGTGAGGAGATCTCTGAGAGCTGATTGGAGGGAAGGAAAACACCCCCCTTCACACAGCACACAGGAACAGAGCTGAGGCTGTCAATCACAGGCTGTGCTCATCACCATTTTTCTCTTGGTGTCAGGAAAACTTGTCAGAAGTGACTCATGCTTAAAGCAGAGGGACAAGGCAGTGGACATAAATGATACTTAATACTTTGGAATGAGACAAACACACACTATAGATGAATATGCTTTGTTCATATTTCATGTCTGAGGCTTAAAACAAAACTAGAATCCTTTCCTTCTGTATATGATCCAATGTCTGCCACCTAATGGATAACAAATTTCATATGATTACCAAACATGAAAACCTTCTAGGGTTATTAGTTAAAGCTTAAATCCATGCAACCATTTAGACAGATTACATAATTATATGGCAGTTGTTTTACCTGCGTATCTGAGTCCTGAGATTTACATTTACATAGGTGACAATTTTGGATCTTGTCCTTCCCCCAGCATGTCACTAGACAATAAATGAGAAGCAACACATTGATGATCTCACCCTGCTCTCTCCTCCTATTAGCATGTTCTTGTCAACATGAGCATTTCAGCTCAACGGATTGGCTCTTTGTGCTGCTGCTTCTTCCTCTCTAGGTCTGAACAATGCTGTTCAGGGAATTGCAAGAGGTTGATGCTAAGTCAAATTTAGGTACTTACTTGAATTAAAAGAAAACAAGTGTTAAAGTCAAAGCTGCATTTATTAGTATATTTTATATTTGCTTGGACTTCAGCTTTAGTTCTTCAGTTCTGTATGCTTTTTTATTGCAGGCATTTGACTTGTTTGGAAGTACATACACTTGAAAAGCTGGACATTTGTATTATGATAGGATTGTAAAATGAAAATATCTTACAATCAAAATGTCAAAATTATTGACTGAAAGAGGAGAATGTAATATGTAGTGTAAGCAGCAATGCTATTCTTTCTTACATGGCTGGTTCACATTTCTAAGTTTAGTCTGAAAGTGAAATAAAAATGATATTTTTCCATTCACACCTATGAGTATTCTATGCATGCTGTGTAGAACAGTGTTAATCTAGCCTCATATGTTCTTAATGACAGTCTCCTGTGTGCTGCGTACAAGAGCTGTTAAAGATCTACAGGGCTAGTCATGCATCTCAGGTCACCAGGTGCTGCATGTTGAGTAATATATAAAATATACAGTATGTCTCATCTGTGCATGCTGATAGCTGTCCAAAGTGGAATGTAGATAAACTTTCCCTTGGCATGGAGATCTATGCCTGGGAAAGTTATTCTACAGATTGCAGATGCCTAGCAGTTAAATTACATCTGTCATCAGATAATTATTGAGGATTTTTTAAATTAACATCTGCTTGGCATTGGCTTCAATGTTTCTAAGTCTCTGGCCTGGAAAAATATATTAGATAAGGAATTGACATTTGTTTACAGCATGCTCGTTTACTGTCTGTGACTCAAAACATAATGAAGTCAGATACAGCCAGTCAGCAAGCATTGTCAGAATGCATTGGTAGCCCCCATTATTCTCCCATGACAGGGTAGCTTTAAAATACAAATTTACTGAAAGGATGGGGCTCTAACATACTATACAGAGCACTAATTGGGTGCTGCAGCATGCCAGTGTCTAATGCTATCTCATATCGTTAATTGCTAGGTCAGAGTAAGGTAAAGTCATGTTGTGTTGAGATTTTAAATATATAGTTTGACTCAGCAGCATGTCTCTTTCATTCTGACTGTCTCAAGATGGCAAGCACAAAAACAATGTAGTAGATATTACATGGTGCCATAAACTGCAGGACAAGGAACTGTGAATACAAAGTAAAGCTATATTAAACCTTTTTGTGATATACTATCTATAAAATAAATAAATGTACATATAGATAAATAAAGTTAAATAAAGTCCATAAATCCTAAAGTGTCCAATTCAACAAAAGTCCCACATGTGTCCAATAAAGTCCAAAGATCCAAATTTCCATCCAGTAAGAAGGATTAACTCCTATTAATCCAATGATACCTCAAAAAATGAGAAATATATACCATAGTGCATTACCTTTTACATTTTCAAAATAAATCAATATTGTGCAAACACAAGATCATGCAAAAATGTGAGCAAAAAAAAACATATATGTATATATATATATATATATATATATATATATATACACTACACCCCAAGTTGTGAGCACTCTGTGATCAACTGCAACACTGTGAACACTCAGTGGGACAACACCCAATAGTACTAGGTACTATTACCCTCTGTGAGTAATTATGCACATATCGATAATATGGGACCATAATCTTCCATTCTTCCTTTATGTATACTCCTTCCAAGGTCCTCAAAGACAAGAAGAGTCTTAAGACAGATCTCCAAGCATAGATAAAATTTAATAGTAACTTAAATTATAGTAACCAACTTCCAGCTCTGACAAAAGGTTTTCTGTAGAGGTTTACCAAACATTGGCACACACCATGTGTAGGTAACCAACAAAATGGCCGTGGCGACACTTCCGGTTAGCGTTCGTGCGTCTTGACGTCACCTCCCCTACAAAGTAAAGCTGTTTGCCTTCAAAGACATTGGAGATTGGAGGCTACTAATGTGTGGACTCCCCTGTCATGTTTTATGACCTCCAACGTTGGACTGGTTCTTTAAGAGGAGTCCTTAAAAAGAGAAAATTCTGATTACATTATACTATATTTCCACAGCCCAGTTATTTCATTGATTTCCTATTATAATAATCCATTGTAGCAGTAGAATCAGATTACACAAGTACATTTAATGCCTAATATATTTTTGGAATATAAAGGAGCAAGTTAGATAAAGACAAAAATAAAAGTTTTTGATTCTAAATAGGATGGGGTTTGTGTTTATCTTTTAACATGTTTGTCTCCAAAATAATCCTTTAATGTGCTTCTTGTTTGACATGTGTGTCTCCAAAATAATCATTTAAAAGTTTACTTCTCACAGTAACAGTTATATATCCCTTAATTACCTCCATTTAAAACTGATGAATTTCAAAGTAGGGTAGGGACATGTTTTGCCTTTTGGTGTTGGTTGCAATACTTAGAATATCCCAGTAAGAAAAACATTTTGGCTTTTATAAGGTTGCACTATGGTGTGTAGCTGTATTGTTTGTAAGCTTTGTTTACCATCAAAATGAAAAGAGGTTCCTAGAAAACACACCTCTATCAAGAGTTATAGAAAATGATTTAATATTAATAAATAGTCCTATAGCAAATGAAAAAATATTGGACATTATCAAGGAATTACCTACAAATACACAAGGCCCTGTGAATGACGCTCTAATAAAATAGTAAATAAAATTTTCCCTCTCCCTTTATGGTTCTTTTCTTAAGGATAAGACTCCCCATACAACATTTCTTCATTTCTATATCTTTGAGATCTTTAAACTGGAAAACAAAAACCCATCGTAGCCTTCAATTATAGATCAACAGCAATTCTTAGTTTACAACACAACATTTATGCTAATATGTTAGTCAAAAGGTAGCCAAACTCCCAATAATAGAACAGTAGATCTCATTGACCCAGCCAACAAAAAGTATACATTGGTGCTGTTCTTAGGTCCAGCCATTTAGACTTAGCTGGCCTTATCGGATGGCAATCCTCCAAAAGCATAGACTCAGGTCCTTTTCTTAAAAGCAAATAAGGCTTTTCTTTTCATTATTCCCTTGTCAAAAATTAAAATAGCCATTGGCACATTCCATGGATTCCCTCTGTCTTCATTAAGATATCATA